GCCTATTGCCATGGCGCGGTGAAACGCCTGTGTCGCGCCATGCATGGTGGCGCAGCGGGAGGATGACGTGGCGTCGTTGTGGCAGGGTCTGCCGCGCCACCCATCTTGGCACGGCTGTGACGCGCCATCGCTGGTGGCGGGGCAAACCCCAATTAAAAGCCCGTGACGCCCCCACTGCGCCCTCCCTCGCCCTCGAAAGCCGCCGCCGCCTGCGCCCCCACCCGCCCAGCCCCTGCCAGCGCCGTCGCCTGCTAGCGCCGCCTCCTCTCCTTCGGCTCATATCAAGGTAGCTCTCTCTCTCAATTTCTTGTTATTATGAATGTTATTTTAGTTAGGGTTAGTGATTTAGTATAGTTAGGTTAGTGAATTTGTTTATTTAGGTAGGTAGTTTTTAGGGTTTAGGTTGTGTGTTATAGTATAGTTAAGGTTTGGTTAGGTAGTTAGATTTTAGGTTACTGTTAGTTAGGACTTTGGGTTTAGGGATTGATTAGGTATTTATTATTTAGTTAGTTTATAGTAGTAAAGGTTGTCAGTATAGATACTAGTTTTCAAGTGTAGGTACTTAGTAGTGCATGATACGACGATTTGGAATGGTTTGATGAACCTCCAGCTTCAATGATGTTTGTGTCCGTTTGAATACACAGAAGTTGCTTATTTTCCAAGTGAAGTTGTTTAATATGTCTGTTAATGTTACTTTGAATATATACATGTGCTTTCATATTGTGTTCCTATTGCATAACAAGTAGTTCAAATTTTGCAATGCTACATAATGTTAATTTGAATATAGTTAATTTAAATACTCTAACCCTTTGTTTATCAATTTATAACAGGATGGCCCCTCTCACGCAGCACCCGTTGTACCCCCTTCTTGAGGTGGAGAACGACGAGCCGCACCGAGCACACTTTTTGAGTGACACCGACGTAGAGGTGCCCTTGCCTCCTTTGAGGCCCCGCACGTACACCAGGGCGCACTAGTGGGACGAGCGTTACGCGCCGTACATACGGCGTGCTGGCTTCCTTGAGCTTGTCTGTGTAGTCAACTACGGTCTTCCGCCCCTTGACCCAGCACTACTTAGCGCAGCTGTAGATAGGTGCGAGTGCCTTCATTGTACATAAACATTCTTATAACAAATTTGAGGCAACTAACAATCGTTCTATTCTTATAACAGGTGGAGGTCTGAGACCCACACGTTCCACCTACCTTGCGGTGAGATAACCTTGACCATGCAGGACATGAAGGCTATCTTTGGCCTTTGGTTGGGGGGACTTCCAGTAACAGGTATAGTTGACAACGATCACTGGAGGGAGTTGGTGGCTCAGTTCACTGTCTTTCTTCCACCGGACGATGAGGTTTCCAAGAAAAATAAGTGAGCAATTCAAGCCTATTTAATACTTGCATTGCTTTCCTGCAGCCATCGGGTCTCATTTTCTTTGGTGAATTTCAGGAAAAGTTTCGGTGTTTCGTCGTCGTGGATCACAGAGCGCTTTGATTACTTGGACCCACAGGCTGATGAGGCTCAGATCGACAAATTCACTAGAGTGTGGCTCTGGCACTTCCTTGGTGCTTTCCTCTTCCTAGACGCCTCGTGCAACACCATCAGCTGGATCTTCCTTGACATACTACGCCAGCCGTGGGATAACATAGCGGCGTATAGTTGGGGCAGCACAGTCCTGGCATAGACGTATTGATAGCTATGCGTTGCCTGCCGTCGCACCTCAGGGTATGCGAACCTTGGGGGTTGCTCCTACCTACTCCAGGTTTGGTGTTGGGAACGATGGCCCGTTGGGAGGCCCCTTGCTACTGGTTTACCGGTAAGTACTTCGGTTCACTATATTCTTCGAGGCAGTTACATATGATTAAATTATTAATGGCTAATTCGTTATCGTGTTCAATGCAGCATTAGAACGGGCATGATACACTCCCTACAGCTCTATATATCTGGACGCAAGCAGAGTTAGTTAGAGGGAATACGAGGCGCAAGTACAGGGAGTACACGGACGGTCTCGACGTCCTGACACAGCATCAGGTTATGCTCTCTTTACTATCATACATGTGTCTTGTTTGATGTACACTATATCACAACCTAACTCAATTATGAAATGTTCAGGTGCATTGGTGTCCTTGGGATGCTCCGGAGCTCGAGTACTATCTGAGTCCTGTCACTAGGGATGAGTCAGACGAGTATCGCTGCAATGTCTCTCTTATTTTCTTCCACATGGTCAAGATTCACTTGCCCATCGTGGTTTGCTGAGTAGTTTGGAAGAATAACGGGCTACCCACCACCGCTTTACTCCACCAACCAAGAATTGCATGGGTGCATTATCGATTAATAACAAAGCTACAATTAAAAGGTGTGTATGGTACAACTAACAATCGTTTTGTTGCGGTGTATGACCGCAGGAGGAAGATACAAGACCAAGGATTAGCGTGACACACAACACGTACTTCCGGGTTGTGGCAAAACAGGACCGGCACCCGATCGATGCGGGTCTCCCCCACACGACCAAAGACACCTTCGACGAGTACTGCGGTGACTTCACCGGGTCTATGAGGACACATATCAAGCCCCATAATCGAGGAGGCGATTGACGAGGACGACGAGGAAGATGTGATCGAGATGTGTACGACGTTGCCACTAGGTACGACACACAACTACAGAGAGCCCCGCTTCAAAGATACGTGGTAAGATACTCAAATGGTATAATTTGTTATCCATTTGGTATTAAGTATGTGTACTAAAACTGTCCAACCGTGTTTCTGTACCCAGGCTACACAATTGTCAAGGCTATCCAACGAAGCAGCGTTTTGGCTTCACGAGTCTAGAGGGCTGGGGCCAGACGTTCTCGAGGTTTTTGTGGAGATAAACATAAACTTTTCCGTTCCAAAAATGTTTCTTTAGTGTATATGCATTTGGGAAATGCACTAACTTTAACGTCTATTTATGCAGAAGGTGAAGCGGAGTCAGAGGAAGCTAGCTCGTAAGTCGAAATGCATGGACACTCCTTGGGTGGGCAAGCGGTCCGGTGGTCGGGTGGCACGTCTTCTGGCTCTTTGAGGACACCAGCCGGCTCTTCTCAGCCGGTGACAGGTGCCACTTTCGCAGTGCGTACACCACCACATCATAGCGCTGGGAAGGACCCTGCAAGCGAGGATGACGATGACGACGACGACCCCCCGGGCTTCCACAGACAGCACGACCAGTGGGACAATTGGCCGCAGGACGAGATCGGCATGTCTCAGCTAGGTGGTGCCCCGCTTGGTACCCAAGGAGACTCACAGGTAGTAATAAAGGTAGTTTCTTTAAATACGTAGGCTCCATGAACTAACGATCATAAAGATTATAAGTAATCGTGCATATCATATACTTGCAGGGTACGAGCCGTACGCATCGGCAACGCGACCACACCGACGTTGGCTATACTTCCAATGTGTTGCTTACAAATCCGAAGAGACAGAGACGTTCGATGGATCCTTACACTCATGTGACTTAGTTTGTTATGTCAAACTTATGTCGAACAAATATCATCGTCCGAAACTTACATACTCATGAACCAATGAAAATGTTATGTGGCAACTTATCAACTTGCGCACGGACTCCATTTATTTGCTTCATATTCGTTTCAATGCGTTGCGGCGGCACTTGTAGTTGTTTACAGCACCGACCGCAGCATCTACACGCACGTCGTCTCAGCCTGCAAAAAGTTGGTTCCGATTAGACGGTATGACCAGTCTTGCGTAACAGAGCAAAGCGGCATGGCCTATAGTTCAGGGCTACGAAACTAGAGTCAGCAACGCAGTGCTATGTCAAGTCACGATAAACCGATAAGATGGGATACAGTATATGCAACAGCATTAAAACAAGAGATAAAATCTAATAGGACAAGTACAACGACATAGAAGCGAGATACAAAGTTTGAAAAGAGGTACATTGAACGGAGAACAGACCCTCGTTACGGCAAGGCAGAACACATCTGACGAAGGGACGCGCCGTGGGCCGGGGCGCGGCGGTGCCGCGCCATGCATAGCGACGCGGCAGCTCCTGCCACGTTAACGGCCATGGCGCGTGGAAGTGCCACGTCATCCTCCCGCCGTGCCACCATGGCGCAGCGCGGCACAGGCATTTCGCCGCGTCATAGAAATAGGCGCGGCCAAAAGTGTTAGTTTTGGAGAGAGAGAAAAACAAACATTGTTAGATTTAAATCTGTCGCCCAGCATCAGGGTTGAAGAGTCAAAGTATGGAGTTGGAACCATATACTTACAATCTTTGGCATGGGCAAAATTTGAAAGTGAACCAAACAGGCTCGTCAATTGTGAGATATTGACAAGTTTTTTTATCAAACCTGTAAAAATTTTGGCTTAGACTAAGTTTTGGCAGCTAAATTTTATTTTTATCTTTGGCTAGCAAGAAATCTAAAATAGAAAATAACAATACTTAAAGATTTAATTAAAGAAACTATTAAAAAGCTTGTTTTTATTAAAATATTTATTTTTATTAATAAAGAAGGATATATGAGATATTTTTGGAGCTCTTTAAAATACAGTGAACTCTAGGGAATTTTTACATATTTACCATCATGTGGATGAGAGTGGTATAAAAATATCATATCAGTGACTCATGTGTCAGTGACATAGTGTAAGATGATATCCGTAATAATGGTAAATATATAAATGCCCCGAACTCTGGTGACAGTGAAGTCGACTAGTATACTGCAGTCTGCACTCTGGCGGCCGCACTTCCAAATGTAGAACAACAGAGCTCATGTAGCACTGGCCGCCGCCGCGCGAAGTAGCATCCCGACGCCTTCCCCGAACCTTCGCTGCTTGAGGCTTGACTCCTCTACCTTCCGCTGCCGGCGTCAATGTTTGCCAGTCCCATCCACCACAGGCACAGCTACCCCGGTTCGGTCCCTCTCCATCTCCATGTTTCCCCCACTCGACACCAACCCACGATAGTCGTCAGCAACCCGATTGAAGCTTCGATTTTGACCGCCGGTCAGGCATGGGCTCCACGCCGGAGGAGTTCCCGGGGCAGGGGCCCCTCGAGGCTGAGCCGTTCTCCCCCTCCGTCTTCCTCGACCTCCCTCCGACGCCCAGCGAGGAGGACGCGGCGGACTCCACGGACGACCTCGCGCTCCCTTTCATCTCGCGCATGCTCATGGAGGACATCGACGACAAGTTCTTTTACCACTACCACGACCACCCCGCGCTCCTCCAGGCCCAGCAGCCATACGCCCAAATCCTCTCCGATGCCGCCTCTGCCGCCGCCGATTCTTTCACCACCAACACCAACGGAAGCGGCGCTTGCACCCTCACGCCGTCCCCCGATGCCCCGGCGTTCGCCAACGCCGCCTGGCCCTACGACCCGGTCGAGCTCTCCCAGCAGCTCCTGTCGTCGCCACGCCGAGGAATGGGAGCGGGAATCGATGACTTCACCGCAGATGGTGGCAACCAACTTTTGTTGCCCCAGCAAGACGCCCGCAACCACAGTGCGGAGTTCTTGGATGGTGCGGAGGAGACAACTACAACGACCACCTGGGAACTCGACGCGGTGTCCTCGACCTTCTTCAGTGGCCGGAGCAGGGTAGACATGGACATGCTCAACCAGGCGTTCCATAGGGGCATGGAGGAGGCCAAAAAATTCTTGCCCATTGACAATAACAACATCCTTCTCTCGAGCCTCGAGGCAGTAGTAATCTGTCGCAAACCTGTACCGCAGACGATATGAGGAAGGGCGACAATGCAGACGGAATGTTATCATTTCAAGGAACTGGTAATGGCCGGTGCCGCAAGAGCCGGTGTAATTGGCAAGTCTTGGAGACAGAGAATGGCAGAAAGAGCAAACTTATGGTGCCTGAGCCGGAGGAAACGGGCGAGATGATTGATGAAATAATTCTCAATGAGTATCGCTTGTGCCTCAATGGAATGCTGGGCCTGCACATCAGTATGGATAGCAAGAATGGGAAGAAGAACATGAGGAAGGGAATTGGAAGTCAGCATTGGGAACGCAGAGCTCGAATGAGACAGTGTACTTGCACACACTGCTTATCCATTGTGCACAGGCTGTGTCAATGGACGACCGCTGGAGTGCAACCAAGCTACTTTGGCAGATCAAGCAGCACTCCTCACAAAGGGAGACGCCAATCAAAGGTTGGCATATTATCTTGCAGAGGGACTAGAGGCACGATTGGCAGGCACAGGAAGCCAGGTTTACAGGTCGCTCATGTCAACGCGCACCTGGCTTGTGGAGATGCTCAAAGCCTATCAGCTGTACCTAACAGTTTGCTGTTTCAAGATGATGGCATACAAGTTCTCCAACATGACCATCGCCAATGTTATTGCCGGGAGGAAGAGGTTGCACATTGTAGACTATGGCATACATCACGGCCTCCAGTGGCCAAGCTTGCTTGGCATTTTGTCTACTTGGGAAGGTGGACCACCAGAGGTGAGGATCACCGGCATTGACCTTCCCCAGCCTGGATTCCGCCCAGCTGCTCAGATAGAAGAGACAGGGCGTCGGCTCAGCAAATGTGCTCGCCAGTTTGGCATACCATTCAAGTTCCATAGCATTGCAACAAAGTGGGAGATGGTTTCTGTTGATGACCTGAACATTGACCCTGACGAGGCACTCATCATCAATGGTCTATTTGATTTTGGGAAGTTGATGGATGAGGGTGTCGACATATATAGCCCAAGCCCTAGGGATATGGTCCTTGATAACATCCGAAAGATGCGACCAGATGTGTTCATCTTTTCTATTTTCAATCTCTCCCATGGGACGCCATTCTTTGTAACACGGTTCCGGGAGGTACTGTTCTATTTCTCGTCAATGTTTGACATGCTTGATGCTACGGTTCCACGGGACAACGACCAACGCTTGATGGTTGAGCAGCACTTCCTTAGACGGTCTGCCCTGAATGTCATTGCCTGCGAGGGTTCCGATAGGGTGGAGCGCCATAAAATGTATAGGCAATGGCAAGTGCGAAACCACCGGGCTGGACTGAAGCAGCTACCATTGGACCCGGATATCGTTAAGGTCGTGAGGAAGAAGGTCAAGGACAGCTACCACAAGGACTTTGTAATTGAGGTGGATCACCAGTGGCTCTTGGAAGGGTGGAAGGCGCGATAATCTGTGCCATGTCAACATGGGTTGCAGATGATGCTTTCTCGAAACATTAACTGTTTTTCTCCATCAATTCTAGGAGTGATCTGGTGCAAGCGGTAGAGTCTTACGCGCTTTGTGACCGGAAGGTCCCGGGTCCGAAGTCGCATGGTCTCCTCGCATTGCGAGGCGAGGTAAGGCTTGCCACTAACACCATTCCCAGGACCCGCTTGCAGGGGAGCTCTCTCGCTGCACTGGGTACACCTTTAATTCGGGAGTGAGGTATTGATATTTTTGCATCCTTGGACGAAAGACGATATTTTCGCATCATGTAATGTAAAATTATATGTTCATTTAGGTGGCCTAGTATGTAGGAATTGATTTCTGCATCTGTTGATGTACAATTGATGTCTGCATCTGTTGATGTACAATTGGTGTTGATGTACAACAAACTGAAAAACCGCAAGTTTTCATGTATACTCACGCTGATGTATTTATGAGTGTTTGTTATTCTGTAGCTGGCAAGCAATTTCTTGTGAAGTTCACTTTCTGTCGTACCATCAGATTTTTGGTGCTTCCCTTGCGCATCTGGAAGGAGTAAAGAGGTGCTTCATTAACCACTAATAAAATGTTGCGTTGGTTATTCACAGTGGGAGTGATTGGTTATCTGGCTTATATCCTAAGCCAGGCTAGGATTTAGCCATGGCTAGGCTAGAGATAGCTCGCTGTGGTGGTGTAGGCAATTCCCTGGTGTTTCGATAACTGTCTGAATTTGGCCCGGCCAAAGAAGTTTGCATTTGTTGCTAGCTCGCATTGCGGCTGGCTCACATGTGGTGTGGTGAGTTTAACATCACTCCTAACCCCACTCACTTTTCTCTCAGTTAGCATAAAACAACTCGCATTCAGAGTGAAGTGCCATACAACCATCCTATTGAGGTAAACATGCAAATAGGCAAAACAATGCAATGATCGTATTGACGACATTTCTTCTTTCATCATTTCTTACAAACCGAAATTTCAAAAATACCATCACAACAGTCGCACTTTTTTTATTGTCACATCTCAGAACCAAGGCGTTGGCAACCTAAGTTTTGCATTACACTACATTCTGAGAACAAGCAAATAATCAGAAATTCAGAGTTCAAGCGAACCAGCAGCAACATTTCCAATCCTTCTCTAATCTCTCTTGAATCGACCCAAGCAGCAGCTAGCGGCTTCCTTCACCAGTGAACCCAAGCAACAGCTCCATCCTCCGATTTCTCTCAATCTACAATCCTGTGCCCTTTCTGTTTCCCCAATTCAGAGCAGGCTGTCGAGCAGAGTTTCAGGCTGCCGTCCATATGTGGGCAGTCGGAGGTGGCCAGTCCATAGGGAGCGGCTGTCACTCGGTCATCGGCGTGGTTGTCTGGCAGGGGGTCCGCCAGTCCAGGTCCAGTTCTAGCTCCAGCAGCAGGCACTGTGTCAAGACCCGCCCGGCCATGGCAGTTGCGACCCAAGACCCTCTGGTGGAGCCTGTGCCATCAATCATCAGCAATTCAGCATGTACTGACCAGCAACGCTTCCAAAAATCCAAATAACGTTGAATTTTCCTAGAATCTGTCCATTCATCATCTCTTCGTCAACCAGGAGTACAATATATATTACATTATATAAACTGACACGCATAAATCAGAAGAGAAAAAAAGGGCTTACCCAGTGCAGAGAGCTCCCGCTCTGTGCAGGGTCTGGGGAAGGGTGTTAGTGGCAAGCCTTACCCTCGCCTGTGCAATGCGAGGAGACCGCGATTTGAACCCGGGACCTTCCAGTCACAGGCGGTAAGACTCTACCGCTTGCACCAGGCCCGAAACATACCCAAAAAAACATAGGTCAGCTGTCAGTGTCACTTCGGATCAACAGATGTCTAGGACTGACTACTGAGTAGTTCCCCGGCTAGCGCTGGCCGCCAACTCCTCCACTCCCAGACTCCCAGCTGCTTTGCTTGCTTACATGTTCAGCGACTCAGCTGCTCAACTCAAGCTGAACCCATGCAGGAAACTCACAGCGGATGGAGGCCTTTAGCACAAGCAAATCAATCCCTACATCAGTATAGTATGCAACTGGATTCTGGATCTGTAGAATGATCGCCTACTCTTTACTCTCACTACCTCCTACCTTACAGTTTACAAGCCTAAAATTGCCTGGCTGAGTGATATTAATAACAAGCCACTGCTATCTGGATAAGGGGCTGCACTGCAACAGCCAGAATAGCCGCTTCCCTAAGAACAGAAGAAAGAGCCCCTGAACCAACCAAACATGAAGAAGTGCCGCCAGGCCTACATAAATGGGTCGACAGAGCTCAAAGCGGAGTTGATAGTCACAACTCACAATCCCTGAATAAGGTTTTCCAATGACATCCAGAGGAACCTGGACCTGGAAATTAAGAGTAGGCTGGTATCATGCATACAGCAATCGTATGAACATGGTGCAAGTGCAACCGGCTATTGCCCTGTAAAATACTTATATCAGCCCAGGATAGGACGGTACCCAGCTCTAATGTTCAACATTTGAGAAAAATAAAATACATGGGAGATGCACTGGACTACTACTGCAGATAACATGCATCCTCTTGCCACAAGTGCCAGCAAGAGCAATAAAACAAAGGAAATTGTTCCACATAGTAGGCATGGCACACACACAAGAATTTTGCATGTACATTGCATACCTTAACATCCTTCAAAAGTTCAGATGTTCTTGGCACCACCAAAAGTTGAATTGGGGCGTATTGCAGCAAATGCAGACAGGTCCTGCTGAGCATAAGAAAAGCAAGGGCAAATAAGTTCAGAGAGCATATCATTTTTGTTGCACCTACATCCATAATGCCTAGCTAAACTCCATACCCATATTTTTGCTACAGTTCGTGTTGCCTACAGCTTTTTTTGGTTCTGTTATGTCTCAGGGTCTTGCCAACAGTCGATCATGCATTAAACTTTCCTTCAGTGACATGAAGAGCTCAGGTCCTAAATAACTTCTCTAAAAGAAGACCCCTGAACCGATCTACCAAATGAAGCATCTTTTTTCACGAGCCACAAGTTTATTATTTTCTTGGAGTTTAACATATGGTGTTGTTATACGCTAAAAGGCGAATAAAAGAAATAGTCTGCTATTTGGGCTAAAGATCCTTTTTGGCGACATAATGTGAGGCTTTCCCTCACCCACTTGGTTCAGAAGTTCAGAGCTCAGCGGCTGCGATATCTAGAGTTCAAATCATCAATTTGCTTCAGTTCAGTTCAGAGTTAAACTTCTATGTTGTTGCATGTCTCCTAGAATCCCATTGCCATTGTGTTACATTGTGTGAAGGGTGTTGCTGCTGCTTTCTGTTGGTTGACCTTTGTGGCCATGTATATGCCGACTTCGGCGACATCCAACCATCAAGCTTAAACCATGGCCACCATCACCGCTTGAAAATGAGCTACTATGGAGTTAGAAGGTGGCATGTACAAAGGGCCAAGGACTGATCATGCAGAAAGCAGTGCCCACATAGTTAACGCAGGTCAACATTTTATCTATACTTGATATAAAAGCGGAGAGACCTCTACAAAGAGAACCCACCCACCCACCCACCGCCCTCTGTCAAATCACATTGATCTTTGCACGGTGAAAGAAACATGTTCAGGTCAGTCCATCGACAAGAGTACCTGCGGTGTGCAAAGGGGCATTGTGTGCATATTTGGATGCATGTACATCTGGTTTGGTTGGATAGGGGCATTTGGAAAAGTCTGCTGAACCTGAACATGAAGTATGTAAGTACAAGATCCATTAAATGCCAAAAAGAAAAGGAAAAAGGAACTTTTTCTATGTACCTGATAGTAATATGGTCTTCCAATGGTTGCATTACCCTGAGCATCTTGTGAAGATTGAAATTGATGCTCATTAGTTTGGACTATCAGCTCCAGACCAGTTGAGGAAACTCCTGGGGCTTGTTTTTTTTTTTTTCTGCATAATAGGGTATAGTTTGAATAAAATGATACCCTATGAGGAGGGAGTTTAAAACTGTCACTTACTTGGGTTTGGTCCTTTTGATGTTTTCTTCTTCTTTTTCTCATTCTTACTAGCATCCTTTGCTGCTTGAGTGCGCATGTTTCTCATTTCAAAGAATACTTCCAGTGCCTTCTCTCCAGTTTCAAGGGAATCCCAGAATATTTTTCTTGATTCTTCCAGTTCCTGGCTCTTTATAATTAGGTTAAATGCATACTGCATTGCCCGATTGCGATATGCAAGTTCAGCCTCTGTGCACTCCTGTTGGGTTGAATCATCCTGAGCAAGTGTATACATGCTTTTCCTGGCATCTTTTGTCCAGCGTTTCAAAACATACTTTACTGGAATTGTGTCCACATTCTGCAGGGTGAAGACTTTGAGGGAATGCGAACAAAGAAGACCCATCCTTTCAAACTTTCTACAACCACAACTGATCTCCATGGTGGAAGTGTCAAGAACAACATCCCATACTTTTGAACCCCTTCCCTGCATTGTAATTCCAAACCTCAATAAATTTCCACCACTCGAAGTTTCGTGGCATGAAGTTGCTCCACACCCATCCAGAAATTCTGCTTCAAATAATTTGTAGATCCTTTGTGTATATGATTCTGCAGCTTGCTTCAGAACTGTACTATGCTTAATTGCACGGACTGGAGCAGTCTGGCTACAGCGAAAATCCTCTTCAGATTCATTTCTACGTAGATCCTTGACAGCCTTTTCTAGCAAAAGGGCAAAACGTGTAAGAGAGGTATTTTCATCAGAAATTCCATTGAGAATATTACTTGAAACCTCCCCCCACTGAGAAGAATTAATTCCACCATCAAATGTATCTTTGTTAAATGCTGAGCACCATTTACGATGGAATGTATAAAGGTCAATCAACCAGCTATTATCCTGTAGCTTGTATTCCTGGATCATTGCAGCCCATGATTCCTTAAAATCCTCTTCTGAGTCAGATCCTTGCATACACTTGGTAAACATACTTTGAAATGCTTGAGACGTATTTAGTGAGC